GGAATTTCTATTGATGCAAATGTTTAAAAATGGATATCAACAAGCAGCCCATGTCTAATCCAAACCACTCAGAAGCTCTTACTTTGTTTTTATTCATTGTTTTATGAGTTTTACTGACTTGATTTTTAAAAGGATTTATTTAACAGTATTTAATAGATATAGACGGATACATTAACCGGCTGATATTTCTGGGGTTTTGCACCAGCAGCTTTGACTTAAGATCCCATTGAAAAGCATGCATGGCTATTCTGTCAATCCATTCTTAATGTTTTATTGTTTATTTCAATTTTGACTTGTCATAGTTAATTTTTTATAATGTAAATGGAGGAAGAAAAAGCATTTTCCAGCACACATTAGAGATCGGCGAGACTGATGCCTTCAAACAACCTGTATCGGTTGATTTTTCGTACTTTACTCAACACTTAGGGGGGAAGAGACAAACTTAGAAGCTTCATTAGAAGTTTTGGGAACCTTTAAAACAATAAAAACAGCTTTAAACAAACAGTTTATGATTGAGGTGCAAATCGCTGAGGCAGAATCAACCAAACATCAGAACGTGTTTATAGGGAGTTGAGCCTGTTTCTATTTAGCACAAAGTTTTAGGATGGATTATTATCGATTGTGCAATGTTAATAAGACATAAGAGTTTTACTAATAGTTCAAACTGATAATTAGATCTGTCGCGTCAGGATTCCGCTGTAACCTGATCTCCCAATTTTGTGCACCTTTATTTTCTCTTTTAAATTTATCTGAATTTCTGTATTTTGTATCATTGTTCAACTCTGGAAAAAAGGAGAAAAAAACAGTTCAGTTAAATAAAAAAGAAAAAAACAACAGTTATTAAAAAAAAAAAAAATGATTGTAGGAAATGTAGTCCCACATTTCATGGCAGAAGTACATTGATACCAAAAACGTGTTTGGTTCTGGTTCCAGAGTCACATTAATGGTTTTCATCTGCAGCCTCCATGTTGGCACATTCATCATACTGACATCGTTTTCACTTCTATGGTAGAAACACACACAGCGGGTTCACCCTGGCATTAAATCAAAGGGCATTTTTTTTAACAACAAAGGTTTCAAACACGGTGACGTAAACATTAACTATTACATACGTTTCTGTAACCTAGTGCAAAAAGAAACAATGAGGTTAAATAGTTGATTGACTACAGTATTAGAGAATGATTTTGGCTTTTGTGGCGCATCGAAGACGACGCTGATCATACAGAGTGGAAACAGAGCTGAAGCTGGAGCTTCTGCTGCTCCATGCATCCATCCTCCCTCCTGAACCTCACAGCCTTCAACTATTGTGGACCAGATTTATTCAACATCATAATGAGGCTGAAAAGAATTGAGCATAAACATAGTCAGGCGCTCATTTTTAAGCATTTTCCTCTTGAATGCACATCCAGTCTAAGTGAGGCGGCGGGGAATATGCCGTTTAGTCCCAGAAACAAGCGGTACCGTATGTATGGTAGATATTTTACTGCTCTTTTATGGAGTGAATTTTGTTCCATTATTGTTGCAAGAAAAAAACATGTTTTTAAATGGAAATAAATAAAAAAAGAAAATGCAATCCAAAAATAAAACTAAATCAAAACAAAAAAAGAAAAACAATCAACTGGACGTTTCAAAGTTGACATTTTACTTCCCATCCAGGAAGCTTTTTCCATTCAAAATGTCAGGAATAGCTTTTAGTTCGAGGTCTTATACAGTAGCTCAACAAAACCTTGTTTATGTTTTAAAAACATGCAAATTTTCTTTATCCAGAATGTGTCACAGTTTAAATAAAGAAAATAGGTGGTTTGAGAGGGGCGTAAAGGAAGCCATCAATGTTAAGAAGAAAAACCAACCTTAAACAGACTCAGGTTCCAGCTTTGAAAAACCTACAGTTCAGCAATTGAGCTGATTCCTTCCATCTATCATCGCAGCCCCTGTATAGGAGAGCGAAGGATAACATTTATTCAGCGTGGCAAACGATCCCCTTTAACGAACGACCTTTCAGACACTTAGATGGATATGGGCCATTACAGGCTAACAAAAGAAGCCAAACGACCCCCATTCCAAAGGGGTGGACTAGGGATGCACGATATTGGGATTTTGTCCGATATCCGATATGCCGATATTTTCAAACTCATGTAGCCGATAACCGATATCGATACCGATGTTAAAGCTGGACAAAAATAAGTAGTCATTGAAAATAGCAGTTTTGTTATCCATTTCTGACACTTTGAAAAATAATATACTCATATATATTTTCATATGCTGATATCAAATAGATTTTTTAAAAACGCGGTATCGATCTATTTTACTTTCAAAATCTCGTGAAATTTTATCGTTCTGTTACAAATTGTCGTGATATTTTGCAAATTCTTGTGAGATTTTGTTAGTAAAATAGATCGATACCGCGTCAATATATCAACATATAAAAATATGGCAAAATTTCGTGAATTTTCGGGGGATTTCGTAGCATAACGATGACATATAGCAATATTTCATTAGTAAAAGAGATTGATATGTGGCCGATGTCCAATATTCAGTTTTAAGGCCGATACCGATAGGGGGCCGATTATATCGTGCATCCCTAGGGTGGACCCCTTCGTCTGTTTTAATTTGCATGTTTTCAAAACAAAAACAAGGTTTTATTGGGCTACTGTATAAAACCTCAAACTCAACGCTATTCCTGACATTTTGGATTGAAAAGCTTCCTGAATGGGAAGCGTAATGTCTTCAAACTTGGAGACAACGTCCAGTAGACTGTTTTTAACTTTCTTTTTTTGGAATGACTATGACCTGGATGACTAAGAACCTTCGCCAGCATATTCTAAATCAAAAGGTTTGAACTTTTCTGTTTTCAAACTTTACTCATTAATTATATGTTATAATTTTTTTTATATTTTCAAATTTTTGTTTTTCACTCCTCACTCCACACTGGAGAAAAAAAATATTGCAACCACTTTGGGCATTTAACTTTAAAACAACTGCTTTACCCTGCTAACATGAAACAGCTGTGTTAAAGTAACTAAATATGATTAAGTAAAAGCCGAAAAACGTTTTATAATGAATCAAATTTGTAAAACTCAATCTGAAAAAGAGAAATCAAAAATCAAAAATGTGAAAACTGTCAGGGTTCCTGTGTGTGTTGGAGTTATGCATCTCTTCCAGAGAGGATCTTTGTGGAGAACCTGGGCAGCCTACATGGGTGAAGAGAATCTTTCTCATCTGAGTGCTGAGCTTAGAAGAGCAGCAGAGCCTTCACTCAGTGCTGGTTTCCTGTGTTGTTGACATTTTGTCATTGCTTTCTAGTCTCTTGCTTCCTTTGTGTATTTTCCCTGACGTTTATTTGTTTTTGTTTGGTTTTCAGTATTTTTGCCTCCGTTTGTGTCTACTCCTCTGTGCATTTGGGTCCTCAAAGCCTCCACACAACCTGACAAAAACATGGCAAAAAAATAATATGACATTATTTATATTAATAAAAAAAATAAAGTCTTTTGAAATATTTAATTTCTCGACTGCATTGTGTTTAAATTTGCATTCACAAAACATGCTCGTTGCTGTCAACAATAAGGGAGCAAAGTTAACTCCATACTTCATGATGGCCTACAGCAGAGTCTGGTATAAAATAAATGTGGAAGTTTTCCTAATTTCATCTCAGTTTATTTCCAAACTTAACTCCAAGTTTCCCCCTAAACCCAAATTTCATGGACACTTACTGGTTTCAAGGTTTTGGTGAAGTACGGTTTTTGAACCACCTATTGTCCCATCAATTTATAACTAAAGGAAAGAATACAAATGTTTTGTGGGCTGTAGGGAGATGTATGCAACCCCCCCTCTCCAACTTGTTTCTGTGCATTCTGCTCTACACTGAAAATGATTAAATATAAGTCAGCCTTTTTTTCTGAAAAACAAATATTTTCTCTCTTTTATTGAGCAGGTAATTACATTATTTAAAAAAATAATTATTTCAAGTGCATAACATCCAATTATCTTTTGTGGGGGCAAAACACTCATTCCATTGGTAGACCATCTTATTTACCTGCTCTAATTTAGGGCTAATACTTATTTTTAGATCAGCTTTTTGTGGTGGGTAAGTAGGATCGCAAACTTTTCCAAACTGTTGCTGTATTTTTCTCTTGGCTGCAGCAGGTAAGCAGGAAAATTGGCCAGTTTAATACAATGATTTATGTTTAAAGTAGGGAAATTGGCTCCATTGTTTTATTTCAAGCACTTTATATCTAAATATCTTGTTCTACGCGCAAAATACCTCTTTCAATTGGTAGATCATCATATTTACCTGCTCAAATTAAGAGAAAATACTCCTATTTCAAGATTTTTTTAAACATATTTAAAGATCGGCTTTTGCAGTGGGTTAGAAGGATCCCAAACGTTTCCGAACTGCAAAAACTGAAGTACAAAAAACTGAAATAGATGTATTTTTCTCTTGACTGCAGCAGGTATGCAAGACAATTTGCCAATTTTATACAATGATTTATGTTTAAAGTAGGAAAAATGGCTCTATTATCTGCTTTCAAGCACATCATCTCTAATTATTTTGTCAAAAGTACTCATTCCAATGGTTGATGATCTTATTTACCTGCTAGAATTTAGGGCAGTTCAAACTCTGTATTACTTTTTTGAAGAATTAATTAGTAAATTTTTTTTTCTAAAATGTGTTCAGTCTGGAAATATCAGCTGCCACTCTTTACTCCATCCAGACAGAATCTTCCCCACGATCAAAATCAAATAAGTTAGAAAAGATTCTCAAAGGAGTAAATCATGATAATCTAATAAAAATAACTCTAATCAGGGAACATTTTAAAACAATTAAATGTGATTTATTTATCATAAGATCTCTTTCTTGAAAAAGTCTGCTAGTTAATGACTTGATTTGTGACAATCACATTGATTTATGTTGCCGTACAGAAACTTGGCTGCAGCAAGAGGATTATATGAGCGTCAATGAGGCAACTCCTTCTAGTTATTTAAATATTTACATACCCAGGAGGAGGAGGAGTAGCAACAATCTTTCAGTCTGACTTACTGATTACTCCAAAGGCAGTTAAAAACTAGAACTCTTTTGAAAATTTAACCCTTAGTTTCCTACCTCCAAATTGCAAAGCCACAAAACTTACTACTTTGTATCATCAACCAGATACTTACTCTGAATTTTTAGAAGAGTTTTCCTATCTGATTTGGTGTTAAACACTGACAGGGTCGTCATAGTGAGGGATTTTAACATCCATGCTGACATTGAATGTGATAGCTTAAGTGTTAGTATTGGCTTTGTTCAAAATGTGATTGTCTCACACATTCTTGTCTTCATACTTTAGATCTTGTGCTGACATATGGCATTGAATGTAAAGAAATAACAGTATTTCCTCAAACCCTGTCCTTTCTGACCACTTTTTAATACGCTTCAGGATTAAAATTAACTGGAAATAAACTGAAATGAATTGAATATAAACTTTGACTCTGCTGAGGCATTTCTTTTTCACTTAAAGTGGATGGCATTTGTTTCTAAAGTCTTTCCCTTTCAAAATAAGATGAGCGTCTGTCCCAGGGAGGACCTGACAGTTGTTCTACAACTAACAACATACAGACCGTTCCTTTCATTCATCAGAGATCATCTGTTTGACCCACTCTGAGTTCCTTGATAAGACGTGAGGCGTCTTCTTTACCAGCATCCATTTTTCATGAAAATCTACAATTTTGTAGAAAAAAGCAGCAAAAACCATAGTATGCCATCTTGGTGAAGGAGAGCATTCTCCCAACCTTAACATTCATCCATCCAGTCGTTAATTTCCGCTCATTTTCGGACGTTTTGGTACCGACCTTGAGTCGTGTTCCAGTAAAAGCAGCAACTGGTCCATCATGTATGGTTTTTGTAGAAAGGCCAGGAGCACAGATCCTAGAAACACCACCTAGTCGACCCCCGGCTGCAGCAGCAGAGCGCACAACGCCACCAGCAGGTGGATCGAGGTATTGCAAGCAGATGATTATATAAAGGGATAGTTGCTGTGGACTGTGCAGAGTTCAGTTGTTGCTTTAATGCTGCATGCCCTGTTTGTTAGTTTTTTCTGTTTTCCGTTCTCTCTGTAGAGTCAATATCTTGTGGGATATTAAGGCCTTGATGGCCAAGAGGCCACACAGAAAGGAAACATACCACAGAAGGTCCCCCACACTGGGTGGAATAAAGACTCCTGCTCTTCTGCAATGCACTGAACATTACAAAAGAACAACAGAAGATTACAAACAACCCTGTTTTGTGACTGGGACAGGAGGGGCTTCTCTACATGATGCAACACAATTCACAAACCAAACACCGTATTAAAGCAATCACTAATTCCAATTATAGACTTCCTCTAATTTAGATAAAAGCAGACAGTTTTGGTTTTACATTTGATCAGACCTGGATCTGGGAATGAGATTGAACCTATTTTAATCAGCCATTGGAAAGCGACGGAATTGGCCAACATGCAGAGTGGCTGGACTATCGCAACAGTAATACAAGCAACATTTAGCATTTCGGACGTTCAAACTTTGGCAACGCCTTCACTACTAAAAGTTGGTTAATAGACAAAATACAGACACCAATTTAACTCAGTAGCTTATTTGATGTTTTCCATTTCCAGCTTTAAAGGTAAATTCCAGCTGGTTTGATATGATCTTTTAACCTGCTAGCAAATAAAAACACAAATGAGCAGCTTTTTGTTTATATAGGGAAACAGAACATAAAAAATGTGACTTTTAAGGCAGATTTTATGGCAATTCATCCAACCGTTTATTTTGTGGCTATCTCTTCTTTTTAAAGGCTGGCAGCCATATTGGATTTTATAGTTCAGGTCTGAAATCTTAAAATTTCCCCAGAGGAAATTCCAACTAAAGTGGATTGTCTGTTGAATTTTATTGACAGAGAAAATGTAACTTATGTGTGAAAACTGGTTCATGTTCTGCTTTGCCTTCATCATAGTTGATTGACGCAGGAGAGAAATACACACCAATTAGAATACAATTCAACACTCAGGTTAAATCCGTTTTTAAATAAATGTTAATGTTTCTAACATGTGTTAAAACTACACTGAAATTTGACAATCTAGTTTAAACAGGGTTTTTTTTGTGTGGATTAGCAACAATGTCGATTTTTGAATTTTGCGGGGCAGATCTAGTTACTCCAATGCAGTAAATGGTTTACTTAGGCAGCCATATTGGATTTTGTAATAGGGGTTGGAATCTTCAAAGCACGGAGTTTAGAAGGCACTTAAGGTGACTCATTTATTTATTTTGGATCAAAAGGTAAATACCATCTTCAGAATATGGCGCACACAACAGTTATCATAATTAGCGTATTTTCCGGACTATAAGCCGCTACTTTCTTCCCCACGCTTTGAACCATGCAGCTTATAAGAAGGTGCAGCTTTTCTGTTGATATTTCCTAACCGCCTGAGGGGGAAGTTAAAGTTGGAAACAAAAGAATAAGGGTTCACATTCGGTATTTTATTTTTGATTTTTTTTGCAGGTGAATTAAGCTTAGTTTACGCTTGATGTATTAGCGAGGTCCACGTGGCCAAATTCTGGATTTTGGATCTCCACAGAATTTCCCAACCACAATTCTAGGAAAATTTCTAGCTTTTGTTTCAAATATAAACTTCTAGAGATGCTGTGTTTAACTCAGAAATATCAGCACTATCAACAGATTGTGGAAAAACCCGTGGAAAGAAATGACTGCTGCTCTCTAACGGCATAACGAGCCATTGAAAAATTTCTAAACGACTAAAAGAATGAGAAGAAACCGTTTCTACAATCTGCCCTCAAAAATAAAGCCATAGTATAAGATGTTTATTTTTGCCTAAGATGTTCTTCCTTCCATAGGTGTAAAAATGAGGAACAGTGTTGGAAGAATCTTTTTGTTCTTCACTTATTTTAACAAGATAAACCAAAACTATCTGCTTTTTTTTATTTCTGTTTTGCTTTTGGATTCAGAGAATGTTTTCTTCCTCCTGTCCACCATGGTGGTTGGCGTTGTTTGAAACGGTAGAACCCAGGTGGTGGGGGGTGGAGCCAAATAAAGTCCTCAGACTTGTTCGACTGAGGATGAAACAGTCCTGAGCTCATGAGCGTCAATGATTGGACGGAGCGTCCTACAGAGAGGAGGGGGGAGGGGTCCCGTTGAACGAGATTCATTTAAGGCTTACAATGTTTTCATCTTAATTTTAAAAGTGATGTTTCCTATAAAAGTCTGAGAGTAAGAGAATCATGCTACGGATTAGTTTTAATCTCTGCCTCCCACTTGGCTTTGAAAGTCCACTTTTCCTGGCGTAATTCCACCCAGATCCCACTGTCTGTTTTCTTCTTTCCATCCAGAGATCATGATGGCTCAGGCCGAGTCCTGGTTTCCCTCCTCTATTAACCCTACTTAGGGCCCTCCTTGTTGCCACGGCCCCAGCACCCTGCTGCTATACTCATACTCCTCTGCGCTGCTGCAGCGACAGACCGCTCCCGCTCTCCTTCGCACTGGCTCAGCGTGCGCTCAGTCCGGACCTGCTGGTTGGCTGAGCTGGATCCCGAGTTCCCAGACGGTTGGGAGGAAATGGTGCGAAATATGTGGCTGCGTTTGCGAAGGAAATCTCCTGCGGCCGAACCCAGAGCGAAGCTGCCCTTCCGGAGGACCATGCGGGTACTGGTGGACTTGGCCGGCCGAGACCTTTGGTTGTACTCGAGCTGGGACAGGTGGGACGCGTAGCCGTCTGGGATGAACTGTTGGAGAAGTAAGATAATGTGTAAGACAGCTCTCAACATGCTTTACCATGACAGTAAGGCTAAAGAAGCATTTTTGTGACAAATCTGTAAATATGCGATCTATGAAGACAAAAAGTTTTCCACCAACGATTGGGATTTTCACAGAATTTAGAATCTAATCTTTCCAAATGTAATCTAGAGGTTATAGGAGGCATATTCAGGTTCCTGGCATACCTGGCACTGGTGCTGCATCTTCTTCGTGGGTCTTCCTACAATGTAGATCTGAGAAGGAGGGAGGCCGAGGGCGGAATACACAGAGATGTCCTTGGTGGATCCATAGGCTGCAAAGATCTTCATGTGAGCCTAAAAAAAAATAGAGTTACATTAAAATTCATTCATAAACCTCCTTATATGACTCCAAAACTTAACTTCTATTTAATTCATGCAGCAAACACAAAAGGGATCTGTTGGTAAATCTTTGCTGCCGAGCAAATGTTGACCTCATTTAAAGGAACGATGTTTAAGTCATAGATATTCTTAACGCTTTATAGGCCAAGTTACCGTTTTTGATCACTTACATCCCCTTACAAATAGAGTCCCCTCCGTCTCTCAGTGAGGTCTAGAAGCACTAGATCTATATCCAGCCATTCAGCAAAGATGTTGCTTCATGTCTGTTCATCTTATTTTGGCCTTTGACCAATTAGATGAACCCTTGAATGTTATACTACCTACTGGAAATTAAGTTAACAAGTCAAGAAGAAAAAAAAGGTAAAAAGCTAATTGAAAAGTTAAAAAGTAAAGTTTAAAAGTTAATAAGCCTAGTTACAATTATATTTAGCTTTATAAACTGAAAAATGTAAGTGTCAGTATCAGCATTAATGCCTCTAAGGTTATGTTGTACCCCAAAAAAATAGTGTTTCTTTTACTCTCAGAGTGTTTTTCATGAACTTCTTATACAGATATAGATATGCTATATATCCTCCCATAAGCTATATATCCTCTTAATATATTCACGCAAGTTGGCGTTTCTTTTTATTACATTGACATACATTTTAGCCATCAAGTATCCCTATTTTTTGAATGTTACAAAGGTAATAAGGTCTAGTCCTGGATTCCAATAACACTAATAGCTTGAACACTGGAAAAAAAAGAAGTCTGGATAAGTCATTTTTCTTAAAATAAGTGCATTTGTTCTTCCAGAGGATGTTTATATTTAATCTGACGAAACAAAACAAAGGATTTTATTTCTAACCCAAATACAAGAGGAATAGATCTTAAAGACATAGAGGTTCACAGATTGATCAGCTGGTCGATCTACTGGTTCCAGCTTCCTTAAATTTAGGAGAACGATGATTTGCCAAAATCTAGATGTGAAGCTGATCTCAGCTACTGATCTACTCTATCATAAATGTTTGAAAATGAGCATTCCTGCTGCTCTAAACTTTTCATTTATAATCCAGATAATTTGATATTGCAGATAAAACAAAAAATTTATAATTCATCCATTATTATTTCTCAAATAGGATCCAAATATTGAAGCATTGTATTGTGACCTTTTTAACAAGTATGATGAACAAATTCTGTAGCAATCAAAATCAGAATCAGCACGTCTGGCTTTTTAAAGATCGGTGATTAACCAGAAAACAGCGATCAGAGTGACTCTACTAAAACTGCTAAAAATAAACCACATGTATGTTAAGGATAATTTTAAGCAGAGCCTCCCAAAAAAAAAAAAAATGCTTAGAATCTGCAGACTTATTGCATCTATATTTAAATCGCTTATCGGTTTCAATCATTTTTAGTTGAAGTTAGAAGAGCCACAGTGTAAGGTTGATATGCGGCTCCAGAGCCCCAGGTTGCCATTTAATGTGTTTAAGCTGCATGCCATCATCAGCTCATTCAGCCATTATTCAACGCTATACATTCTCAGAGTGCTGCATCAGAGATTTTGTGCGTTTCTCAATTCACTAGAATGTGAGTACCGACTCGTGTCCTCACCAAGTATGTTCTTGAGTAGAACACAGTAAAGTCTGGACTCTAGGAGAACAGGAGCACACAGCGTAAATATGGGTCAATTGGAACAGAAGCGTACTGATGACATCACCACACCCTCTGCTCACTGGAGCTACATTTCACCTCCTGTTATTAATAGTCTCTAGATAATAATACAATCTTATCATTTAGTGGGGGAATAATAATTAACACAGTCAGATAAGCCCAAATCAAATGTAAATTTTGCAAAATAAAACAAAAATATCGCCGTCATAGCCAGCGGCTCTTGAACCACAGCTCTGTCGAGAGAGGGCTGCTGCAGACGGGGTGGGATTACACCTGGCGCCGCTGTCCGCT